AAAATATATATCTCTCGAAAAATTGATGAAACTAACAAAAGTGGTTCTCCAATTACACCTCGCAAACATATCCGAGTGTAATATAAATCTGAAATATTCCTCGGAAGCTGGACACATTTTGACCTAAACCTGGAGGTTGCATCTGGCACATACGACCGCATGCACGTGTTCGAGAATCATAAATATGAACAGCAAATGCCAGAAAGGAGGATGTTTTATTAAAGACGCCGCAGGAAGACACTTCATCATGCACGTTGCGTATTTAAAGGGACAGCAATTGGACCGTGTGCATTTTTCTCTATTTGCACGTTGCTCGTAATTCGTCTACCAACGTTTCGCGAAAAGAAGAAATACCGGTTGCAGTGTAGCTTTGAACCTTGCAACCCGTTTCCATAAAGTGGACCAGGAACGTGAACGTGATTGACAGATCGTGTTATTTATTAATGTTTACAAAGAAGGAAGTGCATACAGGGAGAAGTAGATCTGCCAGAGAAATGAAATTAATTTACGGAATCGAATTAGATCCTTGCCTCGATTTTGCTGCGACTTTTTAACGTGCGAAACGTGCGAGATGAAACAGCTAGATGGCTACCTCAAAATGGACGAAATCGATGAATTTAAATACCATAGAAAAGGAGCGACGATAGGCAATTCGTTATAAAAAGAATAATTATTGGAAGCTACTGTGCTATGTATAGTAGCCGATAACTGAAATAAGCGTCGATCGATCAGAAAATTTAATGTTCGTTACAAAAATGGCATCAAAGTTGGTCACGAGCTAAAAATATCCTGTTGCAAGTTTCTCTGGACTAGACGGAGAAATTATAAATAAATTAGCCTGCTTGTTATTATGTACGTGAAGTATGTGCCATATACGCGAGAAGAATGTGTAATAAAATAAATAAGAAAAATAATATAATAATAATAATATAATGAAAATATATATTTTGCGACGAAACAAATATAATAATATTGGACCCTCGCTGTCAAAATTGAGAGACGAGTCAACCATGCTATTTACCCCAGGAAAACCTAATTGATGATATGTAATTACATACATAATTTAATAATATAGATAATAATATAAAAATAATAACATAATAAAAATAAATAAAAGAAAATATATATTTTGCGACGAAACAAATATAGTAATATTGGACCCTCGCTGTCAAAACTGCGAGACGAGTCAACCATGCTATTTACTCCAGGAAAACCTAATTGATGATATATAATTACATACATAATTTTATAATATAGATAAATAATATAATAATAATAACATAATGAAAATAAATAAAAGAAAATACATATTTTGCGACCAAACAAATATAATAATATTGGACCCTCGCTGTCAAAATTGAGAGACGAGTCAACCATGTTATTTACCCCAAGAGAACCTAATTTAAATACGCGAGAAAACGTCACTTATGCCCATTTTTCAATCGAACACCTGATTCCTATATTTTAATTTTCCTAAAATTAGATACCTACATATTTTTTCTTGGCAGAACTGTCATTTGTACCCAATTTTAGAATACATCGGATTTCGACGCCATTTTTCTCTCGAATATTCGATTGCTATATTTTAATTTTCCTAAAATTAGCTATCCTAATACCTTCCTTTGTCACACGTTATGAATCAAAACTTGCGAGAATTGCGAGACGTGAGCTAATTTTTTTGCACAAATGAAGGGATCGAAATCTATTAGATTGCTATAGTCATTTCAATTCCTATAGGTTTTTGATTAGGAACTTCAATTTTATTAACATTTTCGACTGTATCGATTATGCTACTTACCCCAGGAAACCCGAAATACGAGCGAAATATGCCAAAAACGTGATTCGTACCCAATTCTCTGCCAAATATACGAGTGCTACGCTTTAATTTCCTTAAAATTATCCAGCTGGATACCTATTCTTGGCAAGACTTAGATGAATCGAGACTTGAACGGTATTCTGACAGACTCGGTGTTGACGGAAACTTACGAGATCTCGCTTAAGGGACCTAGGGCTGAGGACCATCATGCGTCTGTGTTTCTTGATGAGTTTGCTCAGCCTCTGCGTTCTTTGTGCACAGGTCAGAGGCTTGCCAGGGACATGGTCGTCATCCTGCATCTCGTCCTCGAGGTCCTCCACGCTCTTCTCCACCGGCGGACTGTGCCTCGGGGTCACCGTGCTCAGTGGCACGACCCTCGCGATCAGACTCTCGCTCCTCACGCTCCACGTGGACGCACCGTACTTTTTCATGTTCATCAAATCGCCTATGCTACCTCTCACGTACAGATTACCCAGCTGCAGATTCGTCCTGGACAAGGCTGGCGAGTGTGGAAGGGATTCAGAGCATTTCTCCGTAGACCTTATGACATCGGGTAGCACTGGCTTGCTCTGCAATTTATCCAGGTCGGACAGAGAGGATCCGCGACGGATCCTAGGCTTCAACAGCTGATTCTTCTTCACTACACGCTCTTTCTCGCGCACCACGCTCCTCGAAGACAGGGAAGACTTCATCGCGAACAGACCTGCCTTCAGAGGGAACAGCAGGGCCCATTCCGTCGATTTCTCGCGTGCCTCCATCTTGACTAGCTTACTCTACTCTCTTTTCCAGGTGTATATAACCAAAAAATCTACAGTTGATCGACAAATGATTGCAGGATGCGAAAAGATAGGAAATCAGTGAAGATACGGTGACTCGGATGTCAAAAATTCCTCAGGAATCAGTCTCAGACTCGATGGTCCTCACAGTTCCCGTGAATTTTGCACATGCTGCTTCTGATCATGCAGAGGATATCGTTATCTGTACGACAAGGCCATCCGGTCAGCACGTTATCAAGCTTCGCGAGCTAGAACGTGTCAAACGCGTTCGGCATTCACAGCAATTTTCCAAGGAATCTCACCAGACCAGGCACACTTTTACGATCCAACGTCACCAGAGAGCTAGTTGACAGTCGTCAGTCCGTTACACGAAAGAGTCTAAGTTGGGAAATCCGATCGGCGATGGATCACGCGCGTCTCACTGATCACTCTTTCGGGACCGGGTCGTTTGCATCGGAGCAAAGTGGCGGAGTGACGGCGAACGAGGTCGGAGAGGAGAAAAACATCCTGTTCCACGGAGCAGCGCGATCAGACTCTCTGACAGATCGTGCGGGAATTAAGGCAAAGGAGGTGGTCAGCCCCTGACGGACCTCTTGGTGATATTTTCACTTAAGTTAACACGACCCCCCGTGCAGATGTTCCCTTTGCGGCGGCTATCGGCGATACTTCCGTCTAATAAAAGCCTAATAACGATCGATAGCGTCGCTCCACGGCTTTCACTCTTTTCTCCGACCTGGATCCTCGCTCTCCACGAAATCCAAAGGTATACGAGAAAATCCCCCTCTTCTGACGGCCACTCGGTCCTTTCTCATCCGGTCGACTAACGCGATACTGAAGGGTACCGAGTGCGTTCGCGATGACAAGTGGCGAGGAGATGATAACGAAATGGCGGGAGGGGAGACCTTGACGGCGAAGGTGATACCACTAACTCTACGCCGTCAGTCGACATACGGGCTTCCGATTGCGGTTAGGCCAACTGGCCTACATAGATTGCGGCCCTACGAGGTCCTATCGCAGAGGAAAAACGAGTCCCTGGAGGGAGCTAGCGACGTGATATGCCTCTGAAATTTCTTTCCACGCGGTTAACGTGCATTTGTCTTGCATCCAGGATTTTTATCGCAAACCCTCCTTTACATTACGATCTTTGGGTACAGAGAGTGAGTCTAATTGTTGGATAAAGCTTGGGGCACTAGTAGGAGGAATAGCTTTGATATGTAGAAGATACGTAGACCTAGGAAAAGGAGCAAGCTGATTTATACACATATCAATATGATTTGGGGAGGTAATTACCTTATAATTATTACCCAATTATATCCAATAATTATTTAACACCAGTCCCTCAAAGGACGAATTTTTAATTCCTTTAAAATCGTGCATTATCTCAGAAAGCATGGGAAAATTCTGAAATAATTACCTCATAATTATTACCCAAGTATACCCAATAATTATTTCACAATTTTCTGGGATAATGCATGATTTTAAGGGAATTAAAAATTGGTTCTTTAGGGGACTTGTGTAACTCCAAAATGGAAGAATATAATCGGCATAAGTTCGACGAAATTAATTATTAGGATATCGAATAATAAGGGGTGAGCTTTTGCTTTTGCTTTTGCTTTTGCTTTTGTCGTCAGTTACAACTAATAAAAATGCACGTACCCTGGAAAAATTTTTAAACAATTTTCCACAGTTGCTCCTTAACTTCCTAACCTTAAAAATCTCGAGGAAGCACGAGGAAGCTTCTAATTCCTTGAGAACCACACGTACCAAGATTTTGAAAAATTTTTAACGAAATACGAAGGAGGAAAAGAAATACCGTGAAATATTTTATCCCATAACCTGTATTCTTTTCAGCTACGGTTAGGCAAATCGAGTTATATAGGTAAGTACTGCTTCCTGAGCGATAATTCCGCTGATAATTTCTGCGGTGACGAAGGAAAATAATTTTAATCTTCCGCTCCCATTTCGCGTCGTATTTATTTATAATATATTTTATTCTCGGATTTTTGCAAATATTTGAAAATAAAGGGAGAATTCGATTCTCTGGAATATCGACAAATTACATGCTATGCGATTGATCTATGGTATCCCTGATGATCAACGATATAAATTGTATTTAAAAAATCGAATTTTGTAATATTTGTAATATTTTGTAATATTGGAAAATATTATTAAACCGTTCCAACAAATTGTAATAAAATATTCTGATTAGTAAATATATCCTATACAGTGAATTGTCATCTCGCTTAGAAAAATATTTCAAACGGTGACATCACAGGCTATAGAAAATTATTTATCTATTTCTATTTTATTCCTATATCTATATCTATATATCTAATAGAAGAACAATATATGGAAACCTATATCCATCGACTACATACTTGTATTATCACAATTATTAAGAAAAATAGTTACCAATATGTTGACATACCCTAACCTCAAAAAATTATGCAAGATTTCATTCAATATCTAATTCTTTCACCTCTACCTAAATCTGATACATGCCTATTCTTGACAACAGAGCTACAAGGACCTCGTTCCTTCAATTAAATGCCTAAACTCAACGCAGACAGGCATACCAGTAAAATGATGAACGTTAGCGTAACGAGGCCCTGGATCGATTCAGAGGAAATGTAAATGACGCAGAACGCAGCTGCAACTCGAGCTAGTTAACTCTTGTCGTTTGTCGAAAATTTCAAGTGCCGGACCCTAGTCCAGAGCGAGCTCGTCGCAAGCCTGTGGCAACTTCGTCCCAGCGTGTGTCACCACGTCGAATTTACATTTTCCATAGCGGAGAGGAGTTTCTCGGTGGCGTATATCGACTCGGTCGGCTTCCAGGAGCGCGTCAGGTGCGTACTTAGGGTGGCACGATTGGGCGACAAGGTTGCGTTAATGGAAGTTTCGTGTCGCAGTCGGTTAATCCGTCGCTTGTCGCCCCGACGAGCGGCGTATTTTCAAGGTGACGAGACGGCCGATAAACGCACCCTTTACTCCGGCAGGGACCCCTTCCCACGCAATGGCACTCGATTTACAAACTCCTTCTTTTTGCCATTCCTTCCCGTTCCTGCCTATAGCCATTCTCGCTCGCTTGCTCGAATAATCGCGTCCAACTCCCTCGCCGAGATTCCACGCCATTCGACGCGACAACCACGCTCACTACGCGTGGGTATTCGTGTGCACATAATCTCGTATTTCTTCCCAATGGTTTCCGATAAAGCGCTAATGAACATTCATTGTACGTTTACAACCGCTGACGCTGATAACGGCGCGACTGCTGTTTCCACAAAGTGATATCGCCAAGTATTATTCGTAATTTATGCGAATACGTTTCTGCTTTCTGGGACGTAACATGCGGTGACTAATGCTAATTCTTGTATGTACTTGCCTGTCACGACGTCAATCAATTTTACAGAATTTCGAATTTTTACAATATTCGTTGCGCGAGGTCTTGAAATTTCGCATACATAATCTTCGACGCCTAATACAGATTGAGATCTCGCTTTTGGTTTCACAGGATGCTTCGGTTTCTGGTCGTGAATCGATTGTAACACGAGTTGCGTAAGTGGTTTACGATGTTTCGTTACAGAGGATCAGTGTTCTCGTGGTAACCTAATCGATGGTAAATGAGACGAGTTACAGAGGTGATAAAGTACAGAACCCGTAGATGTGATCTGGACGAATCGATACAGTCGGGAAGATCGTGACTGACGAGGCCATTGTTGTAACAGCGAAGGACTAGAAAAATAATGCGGGTCGCCGGCATGAGGCGCCACATTTTTCGCAAGGTCGCCACTGAGGTAGCTGACCTCGTTGAAAAGGAAAGTGATTTTCGTTTCGTTCGAGGTCTGCGTGTCTATTTGCGTGGCAGCTTAACTATTTCAGTATCGCAGCTGGTATCGTGGTCCCTGTTAATTCATGCACCTGCTGATGTGTTCTTAGCGCTCTCAACGAGCACTTCCTATTTTCTCACGCTAATTGGTAGGCTCTTTGGAGGCATTGACATTGAACGCCCTTAATGGAAGCTACGGTGTCTCATGCTGATAATCCTAAAATGAAATATGATCACGTTACTTACCCGCAGCTGCATCACTATTTGGTTGTACGCCCAATGCCACCGTTGCCTTGCTGTCATCTCTGGTCGCTCCTTCAATTGCGTAGGCACTGGTGCAGCTCCGACCATCTCCAGAAGCTCCTTGTCCGGCGGTGGTTCGGGTGGACTCCTCGGTGGAGTATCCATTTGAACACTTTCTTCCAAAGATGCTTGTTTCGTTATACTTCCTACGAATCGACAAGTAAAGACGTAACATGCAACGTTAATTCTGCATATCGGTCAAGAACGTGTAACTTGTAACTCGTAGTCTAACGAATAATCTTACCACGTGGACTATCGGTGTGCGACATTGGCGGGGAAGTTTTGTACGTGTCCACTAACGAGTCCTCTCGAGAGTCACGAAGCATTGCTTCATCGCCTCGTTCGTACCTGCAAAGTCAAACGACAGGTTTAATACGTATAACGATACATCCACGAATAACTCTGCAATGCGAGATATTATAATTACCTTTCGAGAGACTCGTCCCTCATCTTGTAATCGTCGTTCACCGCGTTGCTCAGGCCAACCTCCGGCTCCTCTATAGATTCTTGGTCCTTGAAGTATCCACGTTGATAGCTCTCAGCTCTGGAAATTGGCTGAAGACCACCAAAGTTTTGCGCATAACTACCTCTCTTTTGGTACGAGTCTGTCCTCGTGAGAGGAGGTTTGAAGCTTTCTTGCGTGGTCGATGAGAAAGAGTCCTTTCTCGTTGATTGCGCGTATGAATCCCTTCTGCTATACGATTCCTCGGGGAAGTGGTCGGATGCATAGGAATCTCTTCTGGTCAATTTTGGTTTCTGAGAATGCTGGCTGTGCTGAGAGTGTTGGCTGAGCTGACTCTGATGAGACAATTGCGAATCTTTCCTTTGTGGTTCCTTTGGTATAATTTCCGGATACTCCTCGTCCTCGATCACTTCTTCCTGATAAGATTCGGTTCTCGTTAATCGCTTTCCATTAGCTGCTGTGTGAACCATCGCTGTCACTGTCATACTCGTCGGAACGTGGTTGGCTGTTACGTGATTAACCATCGTTGTCGGTGGCTGCACCGTACTTTGAGGAGATTCGATCAAAGTAGGAGCAACAGGAGTAGACTCGACAGTTGTCGGGTACTCGCTGATTCCTTTCTTCTGCGGAATACTACTAATTGAACTCACGGCAGTTTCGATAGACTCCTTTAATTCGTCGTCTTTGGATTCCAAGGAATCTGTATTCTGTTGCACGAGCGGACTCGGTTTACGCTTCTCGAGCTTCTTCCTTCTCGATCCCGTCGACGACACGTCTTGACTCTCCTGAGAGGTAAAGTAATAGTCCGAGTCGTTTGACTGATACCCGTTCGCTTTCGTCTGGCCTCTTGGCGTCGTGACCGATAATTCCGGTACTTCGCTTAGTTTCCTTTCCGAACTGGCAGCTGGACTCTCATTGTACCGTTCCTCGAAGGATCCCTGATAAGAATCATGATAAGACTCTTCGTACTGATCATAAGGCTCTTGGTACTGATCCTGATAATCGTTCTTGTACGTAATACTACCGCTATCCTCTTTACTATACGGAGCTTGATAGTCAACGTAATCCTTTTGTGGCTTCGTATAAGTATCCTCGTAATTGCTTTGCGACGTAATGGGTACCTGATTGTACGTATCCTGCTGGTTATAGGTGCCCTGATTGTAAGTGTCCTGACTGTATGACTCCTGATTATATGTACTCTGATTGTATGTGTCTTGGTTGTAAGTTTCCTGATTGTAAGTCTCTTGGTTGTAAGGTTCCTGACTGTATGTTTCCTGATTATACGTGTCCTGAATGTACGTGTCCTGATTATAAGTTTCCTGGCTATAGGCTTCTGTATTATACGTTTCCTGATTGTACGTATCCGGATAGACCTTTTGATAACCAGTCGACGTATTTATATTGTACTGAGAATCGTATTGCTCTTGTTGGTACTGATTGTACGTATTTGTCACGTTATTTTGGTCGTATACGCTGGATGGCACGGAGACGCTGTAACCATCGTATTGCTCTTGATACGTATCTTCCTTATAGGCAGCAGGCACTTTTTTCCTGTCCTGATACTGTACGTTATTCTGGTCGTACCCCATCACCTGATAATTATCCTCTATTATCATGTCTCTGCTCGTTTTCCTGTATTGATCGTTCGGTTGGCTAGTGTATTGATCATTCGGTTGACTCACGTTTGGATATGTCATGTCTTGATACGTATCCTGATAAACCTGAGTGTTCTGTTGCACATAAGGCTTTTGGTACTCGTCCTTATACGAGTTTTGTAAATACGATTGATCGTACGTATCCTGTGTCTGTGGCTCTTGATACGGACGACCATACTGGTCATCGACCTGGGGCGTGTAGCTGGACCCGTATTGACTATCTTCAGCATACTGAGTTTTACCAGGCGCGTGCATTTGGTCGTAACCACTCTGCTCGCTATATATACTGTCAATGTAGGTATCCTGAGGTAAATTATCTTGGCTGCGATAAGCGTAATTATAGTCCTCGTTGTAGTCAGACTTGTAGTAGCTCTCCTCGGAAGGAGTTCTAGTCTTTGGCAGTTGCCTGCTCGGTGTGGCAGGTAAGGAGACAAGCTTACGATTGATAACAACATTGCTCGGCTTTGTCGGCGTCGGGGGTAGTTTCTTTCCCGTTCCTTCTTGCCGAGATGGCGGTCGTTGCTGTGGCTGAAGCGGTTTTCGACGACGAGTGCTGTGACCACTGCAAAACAGATTCATCGATTCAGCTTCCTGCTCGTACTCCATTCAACCTCGATACCGTCTAATCGGACAAAGTCAAGCTCACTCATACCTGTAATTAAGTTCCTCCGATTCGTAACTGCGTTGTCTGGTAACTGTTGGTCTATAATCGGGCCGATGAATACCGATACTAGATGCAGGCCTCTGTGGAAGCGTTTTTCTGTTCCGTTTGTTCTCATAATAGGTACTAGTTGCTAGATACCACTTCCCTCCGCTGTCCCATTGTCTATCCTCGTCGTCCTGCCCATACCTGCCAAAACATCCGATGGTTAGAATTCAATAATTCGCGTACAGTCTCTATTCCAATATTCATTCCTTTAACAAGAAACGACACTATCGTTTCCCCTGTCGTAATTTACCCTACTTAAACGCTATTCACACGAACCTTTCATCTTGATAGCCATATCTCGTGGAGCTATCGTAGTACTCATTGTATCTGATATCCCTTTGGCATTCGGGATACGTGGCGCTCATTTTCCCCACTCTTCCATCGCTACTATATCCGTCGGTATAGTAAGAATGATCGTCGTACAAAGTCATCTGCCTTTCCAAAGACGGTCTTCTGTGAGGGCCTGCACACGTAGAGAAATAAACCGAGTTACGATCTACGTATATACGCAACAAATCTTCATGTGCACCGGAAGCACATCCATCCAAGAAGGAGGCAAAAGAATACGCGAGCTGTACGCTCGACTGTGTCTTACCTCTTCGTCTGGAGGTGCTGGTGGTGTTGCTCGGGTAGTACTCGGTATCGCTGTAAATCCTCGTTTCGTCGACTCTCGTGCCATGGTAGTCGTAACCCTCGCTGTACCAGCCGTCTTGGCTGAAATCATGGGAGGACGATGAGGTAAAACGGCAATAATCGGACAGAGATAAAAGCGGAGATGAAATGACCCGCGTTAAATGACCACGTTCGCTGGAAGCATGACACGTTCGGTTAACACACATTTCCAACCATCCCACCGAGTAGTCAGCGAACCATAATAGTCGCTAACTGCGCCATGCAACTACCTGTCAATGCTCGGTGCACTCTCCTCGACCCACTGAACGTGAAAACTATCGGTCTACAAATTTTAATGAAATTCGTGTTCTAAACCCTGCCAAGACGGAAATTGGACCCGTGCCGTTCGTCTAAACGCGTGTTTAATTAGTTAAAAACGAGTTTAAACTACGATCTCATCAGGTCCAAGTGTCCACGTGATGAACTCTGCTGCGAATGATCAGAACAAATAGCGAAGACACAAGCGACTGTACAGATGTTGCTCTAACTCGTGAAAGCTACTTCCGAAGGTGCTCCAGGCACCTGGGCTAACGGTGACTAATGAAAGAGATGTCAAATGAGACGTGTGATCTAAAGTTGACAAGATGCGAGTTATGAAAATCGTAGAACTTTCTCACGAGACAGAGCTGGGGTACTTGTTTCGTACCTGTCCTCGTAATCCCACGTGTGCTTCCGTCGTCTAAATCAGGCAGAAGAAAACAATAAACGTTTTTCTCTCATCCATACTCTCGCGATCAGGGTCGTGCACACTGGCAACTTCGTGTCAAATCATCGGCCCAAGTGCCACTCGAGTACAGGAACGAATTCGTGACAGTTGGACTCTGCTACTCCGTTGCACGACCCTGTTTTCTGTCATCGTTTTATATCCAAGCTACGGTTCTATGTCAATACTCTAACGCAGCGAAAGGGGGACAGAAAGAAGCAGAAGAAGGGAGACTACAAGTTGTATTGCGAGTAACGTGATTCGACGTCTGGGAAGACTGTCGTATCGTTTTGGCATATCGTGTCTTACTCTATATCGATCTCGTGTGTACATCGCGTGTTAGGGCTCGGTAAATGTCAAATACCTGTATTCCTTATAGTGTCTTGGTCTACTATTGTAGAAGAGTGGCTCGGAAGATTCTGAAGCGTGCTGAGACTGAGAATACCTTTGCGGTGGACCTTCCTCGGGGTACGGTTCGTCATATCGTGGACTGTGGCCTGATCCATAGCCTCCGTAATTACTAGGGGCTAGTCTTCCACCCACTGTTGCTGGAATCTGATGACACACGCGGTCGATAAAATACCAATACGACCATTTCTTCGAGAAATTACAGGCTAGATTTAACCTTCCAGCTAACCCTAGTCCCTAGTTAACCTTAATGACACTTCCTGTCATGTTTGACAGCTTATCTCACGATTAACGATTTATCTATTCGCCTAATTTCGTAGATACAAAGCATTAGAAAGAAAGTTTGGCAGCGATCTGAGAGTTTAACACGTTGACTGTCATGGTGGTTGTCATTGGCAGGCGCTTGCCTTCTCAGTGGTGTCACGATAGTCACCAGGGTCCAGGGATACTGATTTTTTAAATTTACATTCATATTTAGTTTAGAATTATTTATGTCCAACCAATTTTTGAATATTGGGGCAACTATATTAAATAAATAGGGAACTTTGAATAGAAGACATTTTTGTTTTGCCACTTCCTGTCATATTTGACAGTTTATCTCGCGATTAACGATTTGTCTATTCGCCTAATTTTGTAGATACAAAGCATCAGAAAGAAAGTTTGACAGCGATCTGAGAGTTTAACACGTTGACTGTCATGGTGGTTGTCATTGGCAGGCGCTTGCCTTCTCAGTGGTGTCACGATAGTCACCAGGGTCCAGGGATACTGATTTTTTGAATTTACATTTATATTTAGTTTAGAATTATTTATGTCCAACCAATTTTTTAATATTGTGGCAACTATATTAAATAAATAGGGAACTTTGAATAGAAGACATTTTTGTTTTGCCACTTCCTGTCATATTTGACAGTTTATCTCGCGATTAACGATTTGTCTATTCGCCTAATTTTGTAGATACAAAGCATCAGAAAGAAAGTTTGACAGCGATCTGAGAGTTTAACACGTTGACTGTCATGGTGGTTGTCATTGGCAGGCGCTTGCCTTCTCAGTGGTGTCACGATAGTCACCAGGGTCCAAGAATACTGATTTTTTAAATTTACATTCATATTTAGTTGAGAATTATTTATATCTAACCAATTTTTGAAAATTTTATCAAGTACATCAAATAAATAGAGAACTTTTAATAGAAGACATTTTTGTTTTCCTTGTCATATTGTTTGATAATTTATTATCGTATCGTAAGAATAATGGGAATTTTATCGTGGTCCCCTGAGGGTACTACATACAAAGTGCGTGACAGTCAAAGTGTTAATAAATTGAATAATTTATTCGAGTCGCGACAAATAGCGTTTGAAAATTCCTCGGGGGATATCTGGCCGGGTGAGAAAGCTTGGTTGGAAGCATTTACACGAGGGTCTCTCGAAGGGAACACATCTTTATCTCCTCAACGAACGAGAAGACTCTTGTCCGATATTCAACGAGCAATCGTCGGTGACCTAATAACAATGTGGTAATAAAAGGAAAAACGTTGGAGCGATTTCGGTGGTCGATAATTAATAAACACAGAGATAAGGAAGCATCGATCGTGAAATACCTGATGATCATCCCTCTCGTAGCTATTTTCTCTCGAGGTCTCGAGGGATCTCTGAGGGGTAGCCAATTGGTTGGCAGCCGTACGGAACTGCGAGGCCGAGCTGTTTGCACCCTGTCCTCCTACTGGATAATTCAGGTCCGACGTATAGTCCGAGTCCTCCGAGTAGCCCGCTGAAAGGCAATTCGCATGTAACGTTACCGCTGAACAGTGGAAATCTTTCGCGAACGATCGTCAGGCTGGTGTCGTTCGAAAGGAAAAAGATGTCAATGCAATAGAAACAAGTTCGCTAACTGTCGTGCGATTCAGCAACCACTTTTCTTGCAGGCTAGTTCGAAACACGTTCGAAAAGCGAGAAAAGAAATTGCTGGTTAGAAAACAAAACGGAAAAAGGTACAGCTGCGTGTGTGTAACCGTGTATGTGTGTGTGTGTGTAAAACAATGCAGATATAAATTGGCTGAAAAATCGTAAGATCCTTCTAATCGCGAGATCATCGGGGAACGAATCCCGACGAGTATACCCTCTACTCGCTGTCAATAGGTACCAAACGGTGATACGTGACAGCGTGACCGGGACTGGAGAGGTAGTCGCGTGTTAAGGCGCGAAATCCGCGGCTCGTCGTCGGTTCTCGTTGATTTAAATCGCGGAACGGAATTGGTCGATATTGGACGAATCCGAAAATTGACAAGAAACGGTGCAACAGCGGGGAAACGGAAACGGTTGATGTCCATGCGATTTGATCGTTGATATCGAGGTGTTTGACGTGTCGGGGAGAAGAGCTCGGAGTCTTCGTTGGGGGGAGCAACGGGGGTCCACAGACGAGGGTGGGCAAAACGAAGAAAAAGATAAAAAGTAACGGATCGATGGAAAATTCGCTGTGTCGTATGTACGAGATGGAAAACGGAAAAGAAAATGCATCGTTGAGAAGTGTAGCATCATGCCAGGGGGTGTAGCGATTATCGATATACCGAGGGTTGTTTGCTTTTTTCTCTTTTCCTCTTTTTCCCGAACCGGGGGTGGAATTTTTAGGGGTAAGTTACCGACGATTCTCGATGGTCGATAACCAACAATAGGAGTGGCGTTCCATACCGTGCTCGTTGATTGGAAATATCCACGTGCACACTCCGTGGATAATGCAATTGCAATTGCATAAAGTACTCTTATGCTCGGTGGCCGCGGATAAAGGGGAAAAATAAAAGAGTCTAGCATGGCGCTGCGATCGATTTTTATGCGAAAAGCTGCCAACGTGCCCCGGGGGCCCTTGCTACGCTAATCGAGAATAGCATACGAGCGAATTCAGCGTGGAGAACCATAAATAGAAGCTTCTGCGAAGGAACCAGTGACGAAATCGATTTGGTGGCGTGGATATGCTCGTTCGAACGCTGATATTTACCGACTCGAAACGATACGTGAAACGGTAAACGTATCCTCTGCTAGCATAACGCGAATATAACGTATATGCTCGCCATTACCACCGCGCGAAATTTCGTAACTTTATCGCCAACTGATATCGCGTTCATGGAATCCCGGGGGAAAGCAAACACGCGATGGTTAATTCGAATGAAAACTGACACATCGAATTCTTCACGCGAGATAGCGAAGATAGAGATAGGGAATTTGTCGAAGCTTCGGCGAAAGCTCGATAAATTCGCGGGCTTCCGAGTTTACGCGAAATAAAGCCGATTTCGATTATTCCATCGGAGACGAACGTTTACGAGACGGCTGGTTCAGACAACTGTATTTAGACCGTCAGACCACGTATGACAACGTCAGTCGTAAGCAGATTTTCGTAAACCGACTATCGATTGAAATGTTTCCATGTTTGTCTTTGAAAGAACTATGCTGCAGAATATTCTTGTGGAATGAGGATTGCAAAAATGAAAATCGTGTTTCGTTATTTATGAAATTAAATGTTAATTCGATGATTTGTTCTAACTGATTACATAGTAGACAGAAATATATTTCGAAATGAGATTCAAAGTTTGAGTCTAGCTTTAGTTGACATGTTTCTGTCAAATTAAATTGTCAGCGAAGAGTATATGTATTATGAATTAAGATTGAAATAGTTTGACTCTAGTTTTAGTTGACATATTTCTGTCAAATTAAGTTGTCAGCCAAAAGTATATGTATTATGAATTAGAATTAAAATAGTTGGACCTTAGCTTTAGTTGACATATTTCTGTCAAATTAAATTGTCAGCCAAAAGTATATGTATTATGAATTAAAACTGAAATAGTTTGACTCAAGCTTTAGTTGACATATTTCTGTCAAATTAAATTGTCAGCCAAGAGTATATGTATTATGAATTAAAATTAAAATAGTTTGACTCTAGTTTTAGTTGACATATTTCTGTCAAATTAAGTTGTTAGCCAAAAGTATATGTATTATGAATTATAATTAAAATAGTTGGACCCTAGCTTCAGTTGACATGTTTCTATCAAACTCAATTGTCAGCTAAAAATATATGTATTATGAATTAAAATTAATATATAATACACGAGATAAAATTAAAATAGTTGGACCCTAGCTTTAGTTGACATATTTCTGTCAAATTAAATTGTAAGCAAAAGTATATGTATTGTGAATTAAAATTAAAATAGTTTGACTCTAGCTTTAGTTGACATATTTCTGTCAAATTGAATTATCAGTTAAAAGTATATGTATTGTGAATTAAAATTAAAATAGTCTGACTCTAGCTTTAGTTGACATATTTCTGTCAAATTAAATTGTCAGCCAAAAGTATATGTATTATGAATTAGAATTAAAATAGTTGGACCTTAGCTTTAGTTGACATATTTCTGTCAAATTAAATTGTCAGCCAAAAGTATATGTATTATGAATTAAAACTGAAATAGTTTGACTCAAGCTTTAGTTGACATATTTCTGTCAAATTAAATTGTCAGCCAAGAGTATATGTATTATGAATTAAAATTAAAATAGTTTGACTCTAGTTTTAGTTGACATATTTCTGTCAAATTAAGTTGTTAGCCAAAAGTATATGTATTATGAATTATAATTAAAATAGTTGGACCCTAGCTTCAGTTGACATGTTTCTATCAAACTCAATTGTCAGCTAAAAATATATGTATTATGAATTAAAATTAATATATAATACACGAGATAAAATTAAAATAGTTGGACCCTAGCTTTAGTTGACATATTTCTGTCAAATTAAATTGTAAGCAAAAGTATATGTATTGTGAATTAAAATTAATATATAATATACGAATTAAAATTAAAATAGTTTGACTCTAGCTTTAGTCGACATGTTCCTGTCAAATTCAATTATCATCCAAAAGTATATGTATTATGAATTAAAATTAAAATAGAACGTCAAATCCAGGTGTATCTAGAACCTCAAAGGGTTAAGCAAGAAGGAAAGTTCGCGAAGAATATTGAACGTTATTTAAAAAATTAACACACTATTGACATGTTTCTGTCAAATTAAATTACCACACAAAGCTACAAATTTTACAAAATAAAATTAAAATCGAAATCCAACTCAACCTAGGATCTCAAAATTAATAGACAAAGAAGCAAAGTTCTCTTGGTACATCAGGTACATCTTCAGATTTCAAATTCGAAAATTTCATTGCATAACAAAATATAAATAACAATTTTCAAAAACACCATATAAGATCTTCTCATTAAATACCATCACGTTACAGGATAATCTTTTGAACAAATTAAATCAATTCTAGGCTGTCGTTAGATGTCTAGGCTGTCATGACAGGTTCCTAACACAATATGCAATAAAAATAACAATGAAACTGGCATAATGAAAATAAACAAGTATACAGACTCCAAATAAAAATCTATAATCCGTCTGATAATTCTAGTGCTTCTCCTGAGAATTTCGATAAATAAATAAGAGTCAATTAAACAGAAATAAAATAATTTAAACACCTCATATCTATCTACCAATTTTCAATTTTATTGTCTGCTGACAATAACGAGTATCGCGATTTAAACGGCGCCCAAACAAAACTTTCCGACCACACTGTACAAACATTCCTGTCTGATTCCACGGAACGTTAGCCTGAACAGAACCATTCCATAAACATTCCTCAGCCGGGAACGAATCGTATAAATCGATCTGGAATAATGGCACCGCGTCGGGGGTGTCCATCGGAAATAAAGATGGACGCACCGCGAAATCATAAATACGCCGTGATTACTCGCTCGCGATTGGCCGAGAGAGCGCGATAGCGACGAATACCTGGCACAAAGCGTTCAGCGATCCGCGCGCGTGATACGGCTGATTGAAAAGGAAAATGAAATTAGCGCAAGTGACGGGCGCGCAGGGTTGAATCGCGTCGTGTGTAACAATTGATCGGGGACGTTCCTCTCGTGTTAAAGAGAGTATTCGAATAAAACAGCAGCCACTTAAACAGTGACTTGGCGGGTACTTACAGTGGCCTATATTGTACAATATCTGTCGTCGTGCCTGTTCGGCCCGTGCTTCCTGGTCCATCATGTTGTTCAGCATTTCCAGCTTCCTCTGCAGATCGGCCGCCTCCGTGTTCTCGGGGTCTTTCGAAAAGATAGACATCGGTGGGGAAATGGTTAATCGCGGGTGTCTCGGCTGTCTCTACTGTCTCTAATCTGCACCGATTACTTTTTATGGGTACTCGAATGGGAGAGAGGACCGAGGAGGCTGCCTCCCCGATTCGTCGTCCCGTCGTTAGTCTACAGTTTCTCGGGTGCGATGCTACGGTTTCTAACGGGCTTACAACAGGCATGAAGAATTCTCGTCTCGCCGATAATACGCGGACTAGAACGGTGACGCGTCGTCCCCCTGAAAGGAAACTCGTGTCAAAAGCTCTTTACGCGTCACGCGACTCCTATCCGGCCATCGTACACGTTGCTTCCAACTCGGCTAGCCCTGGTCTAAGAAATGTCTCCAAATCGATCACTCGAATAGCCCTCTGTAATAAAAATAGCCCCCCTTGGTCCGATTTTCCATAGATCGCTACCATAGAGAGCACAGCAGAGGAAGAAGTCAGCCGACGTGACAGGAAATTGATCAGAGAAGAACGAGTAGGCATCGATATCTATCAGACTGACTTCTCCTTGGATTTACGTTATAGTCGCCGGTGCGTAAATCGCGAGAAGACCCTAGAGGCGTCACAGAGCCACCAGTTCTAATCCTAAGTCGATTGGTCCCATCCCCAATCTCTATTCCCGTGACGGATCCGGCTAATAGGTGATTAATTGGACCTAAACTCTGTCAAGGAGTATTCCTTGCAAGCCATCGCGACGATAGGCGATGCTCCTAGACTTTGAGGGTCAAATAAACGGTGAAAAGCAGCACTGACTACCGCGTATAATAAAAATAGCCCCCCTTGGTCCGATTCTCCATAGATCGCTACCATACAGAGCATAGCAGAGGAAGAAGTCAGCCGACGTGACAGGAAATTGATCAGAGAAGAACGAGTAGGCATCGATATCTATCAGACTGACTTCTCCTTGGATTTACGTTATAGTCGCCGGTGCGTAACTCGCGAGAAGACCCTAGAGGCGTCACAGAGCCACCAGTTCTAATCCTAAGTCGATTGGTCCCATCCCCAATCTCTATTCCCGTGACGGATCCGGCTAATAGGTGATTAATTGGACCTAAACTCTGTCAAGGAGTATTCCTTGCAAGCCATCGCGACGATAGGCGATGCTCCTAGACTTTAGGGTCAAATAAACGGTGAAAAGCAGCACTGACTACCGCGTATAATAAAAATAGCCCCCCTTGGTCCGATTCTCCATAGATCGCTACCATACAGAGCATAGCAGAGGAAGAAGTCAGCCGACGTGACAGGAAATTGATCAGAGAAGAACGAGTAGGCATCGATATCTATCAGACTGACTTCTCCTTGGATTTACGTTATAGTCGCCGGTGCGTAACTCGCGAGAAGACCCTAGAGGCGTCACAGAGCCACCAGTTCTAATCCTAAGTCGATTGGTCCCATCCCCAATCTCTATTCCCGTGACGGATCCGGCTAATAGGTGATTAATTGGACCTAAACTCTGTCAAGGAGTATTCCTTGCAAGCCATCGCGACGATAGGCGATGCTCCTAGACTTTGAGGGTCAAATAAACGGTGAAAAGTGGCACTAATTAGCTAGTCCCGTCGCTGTCATCTGATTTATCCCGAAGCGCGATTATACCCAGCACACAGGCATTCTAAGCCTTGCAAATTGACCTGCGGTCTTGCTCGCTTCGGCGGTTTATTAATATCGCGGCTGAACGATGCTCGGCTGGCATCGTCCTTTAGAGATTTCCTCATAACGCGTGCGCCGGATCCACGTAGCCCCTGATTCCAGAGCTTAGGAACGATTTATTACGCAACCGGCTGACTGACTCGCGTCGAAACCCTTTGGCTTACGACCAGAGCCGCGGAAAGAGGCGCTGAGACGTCTACCTACGCAACCCTGTTACGATGCATCCAGTTACGGCCTCGATCTACTCCGCCTCAGCCACCCCCTAGCCACGGCAATGTCGCGGCAACTTCGCCACCCGTCCTATTTCTGACCCGATAAATTCGCCGTCCCGGCGAAAGCAAAATTACCGACTTAAACCCCGAATGAAAACTACGCGTGTGTACACTAGCGATCAGAAGTTTAAGACCACCCCCGAGCACCCTGTTCTTCCACGAACTGCGAGGGAGCCTCGATGGCAGCGTGCTCCGTCAGGCGCCATCTCGGAATGGATTTTGGAATAATTTTATCCGGCATTTCGGATAATTTTGAATAATTTTGGGAGACTGTCCAGTGGCAGGTCTCGACAGGGAGAATTAAGAGGTCGGGAATTTATACGACATTCCCCGGTTTTATATATTTTGCGAAACGTAATAAATGGACCATTGGCGCATAAACGGCTACGAATGTTCCGTGTATCGTAAATCTTTTATCGGCTCTTTCTTCTCGCGTAAATTCATCCCATACGCGCTTTATGAAGCCGATCCTGATCCCGTGCTTCGCCGTTTTACCAAATATTTCACCACTTCCTATTGTCACCTACTTGCACGCGCGAATCTATCATCGGAGCAACGTTCCACGCACGTTGTAAATATTCGCGTACTCTACAGGGGGAGGGTACACTAGGGTGCTCAAATTTGTAATTAATTTTGCGTTCGGATATCGAGTTGTCGATAAGAGAGGCAGTTGGAAATTAAGACGAGCCGTAACTCGATTACGAAGTATAATAGTTGTAATAATAATAATGACGGATAATTCGCGAAAGATGGGGATTATTGATTAGGCGATGAAAAATAAATGGTAAATAAATATTCCATCTGACCCCTGGTGCTCTTGCTGAATTATAAAATAGCGTAATTTACTTTCCATATCATGCAAATTTAACGCAGGTATGGCGGATTTCGATTACCTTTCTAGCTGACCCAATTTCTTTCTTTATTGTTAATGGCTAGACTGGGCGTAGCAAGAAAGTACTATGTGCATGATTTATTTAGTCTGCCTAGCTTTTTACTCGCGATTTGACAACAGTCTATCGATTATATGCCGTTCGTACCGATTAAGGGGAACGGGAATGTAAGAAAGTAGAAGTAAAATCGGAAGTTGAAGGAAAGGATGTAAAATTATTTTCATTGCGCAATTATCGAAATAATGACAGCTACACTCGCGTCAAAGGTCTGGCAGGGATTAAACGTGAAATCTGGTAAGATCTACATAACATCTGCGGTGTGCTGAAGCTGTTAATTTAGCGGTTAAAGGGGGTTGGTGCGTAGTTCGTAATGTGCTTCGGGAAATTTGGTTCGCTTCTTAGAAATACATTGTACGCGTATGTTGTGCCACGAAATGTGTCCCAGTCACGCGAATATTACTTTTATTGTTGGCATTCGGGCTCGTATCTCATCCGGCGAGATCGATAAAACGCTCATTCAAGAAACTTAGCGTTCCGCAAACCCAGATGCGAGATAATGACGGAATCGCGAAAAACGTATTTTCCGTAGGTAAGCAGAAAATTTGGAAAAGGATCGAATATCGCGATTGCACCGACTCGCGTAAACTCACCCTCCTCTCCCCGGCGGAACCTAAACCCCAGCGGACTGGGGGAAATTGTAACGCGTGCTTGATAAAAGCACACGTTGAAATCCCGAAATCATGCGACGAATGACACTCGACCTTTTCCATTTCGCCGATCCGCGGTCGCTTTATCCGTGTTCCTCGATTTATTTCTAAATTCTTTATCCCATTAGTGCAGCCATACTTAATCTTCCTTCTCGTGCCATGTATATACGCGTGTGTAACGCTGGCACGAAGTAGCAGCCATTTTCTCCGCAACGAAATTTCTATCGAATTTTCATTTATATTTCACCATCGCCGGCGTGATTTATGCGATTACACTTAATACGTTAAAGACGCTGCCTCGTGTACCGTAACACGGTCGCGCCATCTGGCGGAGCAATCCGGCACTACTCGCTGCCCGATCTAACATGGACGATAATAAATACGAAGTTTATTTGAAAATTAATTTTTCTCTTTCGGTTTAAATTAAAAATCGTACATCTAGGGTCAAGGTAAAATCGAGTATGGCTGTGTTAGTGACCCAAGGACGAAGAGACAGAAATTCAAAGGTGAAAATCGAAGGTAAAAGAAAAACGTCGAACCTAATTCCGGTATCGAGATTACGTCAACGCGTTGCAATTATCCAGGAAAATAATCGGGTCGGCTTATCCCGAAACGAATACGATTAAGCAAACGAACTGTTAATGAACATTAGTGTCGAAGACCGCGGAAGCCCTTGGCAAACCGAGGAGACCGTCTAAGGGGTCCTAATCCCTGGTTCTCCGGAAAAATCTCTCGTAATAATATCGGAAGTGTAATACGCCGGCACGAGCCCATTAAAGTCGGATTTCAGGCAAGAACAAAAAGGTGAAAAAGGGGAAAAGGTGGGGGTAGGTGATGGAATTGGGAGAGCGAAAGGGGGCAAGAGAGAGAGAGAGAGGGGGGGAGGAAGGGAGAAGGAAAAAGGAAACGAACTCGATGCACTAGAACGCGACCGTGACCCACATATTTTGCATTCCACCGTTTCCTTGCAACGCTCGAACACGGAGGGAGACACGTACGAGTTGGCGGTTTGTCTCCTCCAGCGTGTATCATTTCTCCCGGCGAGGGACCACCACGTTGTCCCGCTCGTCTTTCGTTTACCCCTTCGTTCCGTCGTCCCTTTCCCTCTAACCTCTTTCCCGGCGATACTCGCGAGGAGCCAGGCACCGTTCGCTGTTTCTAACTTTGGTCTGGATGCAATTAAAAAAAGGGTCAAGCCCTGGCAGGAGAGCGTCTCCGCAGCGCGAGTAGTTCTTTTCTTTGAGCCCTCCCGGCCCCTGCTGCCGAGATTTCGCTCCCGCCCTACCCTTTCTACTTCCCCCACCACCGGCCGCCCCCACCACGCCGCCCTAGCGATGCCGCTTCGTGCCTCGCCGCCACGCCGCCCGAAGTGCATCGGGGTCCTCCACCCTGGCACTGGAACGTCTCTTTAAAGTAAAGAAAAAAAAGAAAAAAAAACCCCCTACTGGCTGC